AAAAAAAAAAGATTTCTCTTTAACCAATCAAATTGTGTCAACAGTTTTGTCAAAAATCAATTGGCCAATAATCTATATGCCTATTACTGTACCAGTTCCATGCTACTTTGATTACTATAAGACTTTGTAGTAAATCTTAAAATCAGATCGTATAAGTCTTGTTCTTCTTATTGAAAATCGTTTGTCTATTACACTTCCAAATACATTCAGAATCAGGCTATCAATTTCTATTAAAAAGCCTCAGAATTTTTTACTAAAAATTAGCATTAGTTTTTTACTTTGGGTATTTCCTATCAATTGCAAATGTTCATCCACATGACCTGCCCATCGCCTCTCTCCCTAATAGCTTCCTGACATCTGTGACACTCGACATCCACGTACCCACTTCTATATTAAAGCCCTGGAGAGGTGAGCACTTCCTTCCAGAGAACACTTCCTCTCCCAAGAGCAAGCTGAAATTACAGTGCATTTCCCACACCTGCCTCTCTCGCAACTTTGAAGGAACAAAAATCACTTGTAATATATCATTTTCTAAATTCGTGTAAACAATAATCTTTCTCAGACACAGAACACAGAAATTGTTTTACCTGTATAGCGAAAGTCCCAACTCCACCAGAAGCACCCAGGATTAAAACCCTGCAACGCAAAAGAAACCACAGTGCATGTGAGCCTGGAGCACAGAGAACCGGGTGACAACAGAGGAGGCGCCCACGTGGACCTGCCTCAGACAAACACACCCAAGAACACAGTTCTTCAGCTACCCCAGGTCAGAGTACGCGGGGTTGTTTCCCCTCCCCTCTTCGGTTCACCAAGAACCTACAAATGCTTAATGGCAGACAGTCTCTGAACTCATAACCAAGGTTTAATTTCTGTTGGTGCTTTCAGTAGCTGCCGTGATACTTGCTAACATTCGCCTCACAAGCTTTCCAGGCTAAAATTACCCTCCCTTCCTGTACAAGAGGCCCTTTTCAGTGTGTTTGTAGACCTACTTGCTCTCTAAGAAAAGTCACATTCCTAACCACATTCCTGCCCAAGTGGAATAAACTCCTTTTGTTCAGACATGTCCTGTTCAAGCGGTTCACCTCTCACCAATGGGCCCCAGCCTGGTCTTCAGTGTGGCTTCCAGCCGGCTGTGCTGACCCGTCGTCACCCTCCTGCTGGTCCACCCTAGAGTGCTTGTGAGCCTTCGTTTAAGGCTGAGCTGGGGTTGGACCAATGACCATTCGGAGGGAGTGGGACGCCAAGGAAGCTGTGAATTCCCTGACGTAGCATGTGGCATTTCTTGAGATAATGGATTGGCACATTGGCGAGAAGCAGGGCCTAGACCCAGCATCTTGTGACCCAAACGTGTTTGGTGATCACTGCTTCTCAAACACGCTTCATCCTTGGATCGGGCTGGGCCATCAGAGAGGCAGGCCATGGTCAACTGCATGGGTGCAGGTCGCCCCAGAAGACTGTTTCTACCATATTGCACTTTGCTGTTAGGCTATCCATCTAGATAGACTGAGGGACATTACCCAAAGTGACTCTTTAATATTTGATGCTACATTAGCTTAGGAAATATTGTAAGAATTATCTTGGGAGTGCCCAAGGAAAAATATTTTTCTGAGGGTAAAGTGGTGGAAGTAGCTGTGCTTCTGTTTGTTCTGACACTGTGGGTTTGGTTTGAACCATATGGTATACTATCGAACTGTCTACTGGGAGTCCCTCTTGGATTTTGCTACCAGAACATGCCTCTGTCTGGCAAGTACCCTGGGCGTCTATCTGGTCTATGACATGAACTCTACTTTCAGTTCTTTTTTTTTTTCAATCTCACCCAAATTATAGAAGGGTAATTTAGATTTTAAAAGGCACCACTAACATTTTGGAACCAGCTGCTTCTTCTGATATAGACACCAGTAAATACAAGGAGCCTTCAAAAAGTTTGTGGACAAATCTTATTCTCTTCTTTTTTTAATCCCATTATCTTTTAATTCGGTTGCCCCTGAACTTTCGAAGCCCCCTCGCATAATTAAAATAATTCTTCTTACAAATTGTTCTTTCTATAAGAGCTACTTGTTATTCCACAGAATTATAAACTCTGAAGCTTCAAGCATGAAGCCTTCAATTCACCATGACATTCTGTCTTCCCAAACCCAACCCGCTGCCATTGAGTCAACTAACTCATCGGGACCCCACGGGACAGATAACTAACTGCCCCTCTGGGTTTCTGAGGCTGTGAATCTTCACAGGGGCAGACAGCCTCATCTTTCTCCCTGGGAGCCCTGGGAGCCACTGCTGGGTTACAACTTTTGACCTTGTGGCTAGCAACCCAACTCAGAACCCAATTATGCCACCAGGACTCATTTTACTGTCTCAGTGCTTCCTGAACAGGGGACAAAGCATGAAAATACCTCCCAAGTGCATCTCAAAAGGGATGGGGCCATAAAGTACTCCACTCTCCTCCTTTTGCCCATGTCTATGGAAGCATAACTAACCAAACTCTCATTCAAGTTTTCCCAGTCTAATCTTTCTCTCAACTTCTGACTTTTCCTCTCATTATCTCTTGATCCTAACTCTTCACCTCAGCTGCCCTGGTCTCCTGTCTCTTCCCCCCGAGACCCCTACATGGACCCACTCCTCCAGGCTTGATGCCTCTGTACCAGCGAAGGCCTCCCTCCTGGACGGCCTCTGTCCAGGCTTCCTCCACTGTTTCAGAGGTTTCTGGGCAGTGCACTTGGTATGCTCAATCATCACACTGTTAGCTGGCGTGCGCACACCCTGCTCCCAATGCTAATAAGCACAAGAGGACAGAAGCCTCCTATCATACCCAGCAGGATATGCCTGATCAACATGTCTTGACCTTAAACATGAAAATAAACCCTCCAAGTCACTTTGTTTGACAAACAAGGTGCTACTCACTTCAAGCGCCGTATTTGAAAGACAGCACTAAAGTTTCTGCCAGTAAGGAAAAAGAAAAGAAAACAACAACAAAAAAAAATCTGCCATAAGTCGATTCCAACTCATAGTGATCCTATAGGGCAGGGCAGAACTGCCCCTGTGGGTTTTGGAGACTAACTCTTTATGGAAGTAGAAAGCCTCATCTTTCTCCCATGGGTTGGATGATGGTTTCGAATGCAACCCAATGTGTAATCCCGTAGGTTAGCAGTTCAAAACCACCAAGCGCTACACGTGCAAATAAAGAGGCTTTCTACTCCTGAATGATTTAGTCTTGAAAATCCAGAGAGGCAGTTCTACTCTGTCTATAGGGTCACTGTCTATGCGTTGGCATCTATTTGGTGGCAGTAAGTAAAGCTTTATATGAATTTCTAATTCTCTTTTTGAGAATGCTGAAGACACTACCAGATATAACGAGTGCTTACGGACCCAACTGCCAGACACCTCTCTCCCCCTTTATTCTTGATCCAAAGCTGCTTCATTCCCCCAGATGAAAAGGTGTTTGTTTCACAGCTGTACTGGGTAGAAGAGGGAGTGGTTCCCCCACAGCAGCTCCAATTCCTGATGTTGCCACTTGAGGGTGCCCCAGAGTGCACACAAACGGGGAGCAGGCCCCTAAGGGCTGTCCAGGAGGCTTCAGCAGATGCCCCGCCGGTTTAATCTTTCTCTGGTCCTGCAGACACCATGCTTTGTGTGGGCTCATTCTGGGTCTGCACTTTTCTTTAAACAAAGAAAGCTCTCAAAAGAGCAGCAGGCAAAATAAATTCACAAGCCAGAGAGAAGTGGTGGGTCCTTTATGGTGCAAAGTCCTGCAAAGAACAACTATGTTTCTCAACTTGCAAGCACGTTCAGTGCAAAGGGAAAATACCACTGTTGCTATCCCCCTAATGGCCTTTCACTGAGGCCATCCCTCGGAAATGCTTTTTAACCCCGGATTACTACAAAGGGTCCTGCTATGCACCTGAATCCCACTGAAGTAAGAGTCTACACAACACAGGCAGTTCTTGACTCAGGAGGAGTTAGTGTGCTAGTGACTGCACAGTCAGACCGTTCCGAAGCAAGTCAGGGTGCTTTTTTTTTTAGTTTATTGTTGCCTTTTAATATCAGTACCTTTATAAACCTCATCTTTGGAAATCTGAGTGAACCTGAGAATGAGAATATCAGCAAATTCCACACTGTAACACTGTGTGTAGCATATTTTACTAAAATAAAATTAAAAAGCTGTATACCGTAAATCTTGGACTACTCGGAGAGTGAGAAAAGGGGTGTGGGACTGCTTAGTAGTCATTTATAAAGAGCAAGAGCCTACAAAATACCTTTTAAAAGAGGCTTTTGGGGCATATAATTCACATTCTATACAATTCAATGGTTTTAAGTATACTGAAAAGAACTGTGCAAGCACCACCACCATCCATGTTAGCACAAGCTCTTCATTTTTGCACCATTATTGTTAACTCTCGGTCGTTCCCCCCTCGCCCCCACCTTTTAGCTGCCATAACCCTGAAACAACTCAATGCCATCAAGTAAGAGCTGACTCACAGTGACCCCTCTATGGGCCTCTGAGACTGTCATTGTTCATATGGACCATGTGGCCGTACCACACGGCCAAGACACTGGTAACCACCAGGGCTCGGGATGATCACTGTGGTGAGTGGCCTAGCCTAGATTTCACTTAAGAAAAACATACTAAGGGGAAGGTGCGGGGAGAAAGTGGGAACTGATCACAAGGATCGACCTATACCCCCCTCCCTGGGGGACAGACAACAGAAAAGTGGGTGAAGGGAGACATAGGTCAGTGAGGTAGTTAGTTTATTGTGCCAACTTGGCCGATAAACACGTGGGGTTAATTGAAGGGAGGAGGGATAAATTGCTCAGTGAGCCTTGCCTTTCGAGGTCTCGGGTCTCTTGCTCTGTGATGGTCGGACCAAGGTGCAGCTGTCTTAGCCAGTTCCTTGCGTCAGCTGGCAAGGCTCACTTCCTGTGAGACATCCCTGAGGAGAAGCCACATGGACCCACCCCGATGCAGCCCTGGGTGCTGGAGCACCCGTGTGGAGACCCCTGCCAGCACTGAGATGCTTGCTTACACGTTCACTGACTAGGCTTTCCTCCTGCAGGCGGCATCATGGCGACTGTTTTGTGAGATAGCGGAGGACTTTGTGCAGTAGCCCACTTTCCAGTGCCTCTGTCTGCAGGCGGGGCTGTTCTCATTCCTGGGCTGTGGTCTTAGGGAGTCCTACGGGGGCTTAATCCACCGGGTCACCCAGCTTTCTGCAAACCCTGGAAATGCCCCATTTTTAATGGGCACTGCTGCTGAAAGTTCCCCAGTCTAATTACACTCTTCTCTTACAAATAGGGCTGCTTTTGAAGTCAGTAGGAACGGCATTTTAAAAAACAACCTCACGGCTCTCCTGTCAGTACTGACTCATAGGGTCCCCTGGGGCAGGGAGAACTGCTGCTGTGAGTTTTCGAGACTGTAGCTGCTAAGGGAGTAGAAGGCCCCGTCTTTCTCCTGAGGAGCACACTAGTAGTTTTGAATGGCTGACCTTGAGGATCACAGCCCAACGTTTAACCACTCTGCCACCAGGGCTCCCTTCTGTACCTTCCGTGTGACAAATCAATGAAACCTATCACAAAAGAGCAGGAGATCCAAAAGGAGCGAATCCTCTTTCAAGTTTCTGTATTCTGGGTGGGCCCTGGAG